ATGCGCTCTTGCGTCCAAATTTTGTACATTAAGGTAGTGATAGAGTTTACGAGGTTATTATCTCTCATCTTGAAAATAGTGGGAAGGAGCTCATCCGATTCCATACGGTATTTATGAGTTTGGCGCTACGAACTTCAGCAAAATCGAGTGAAATGACGTCGTCATAAAGCATCGTTAAGTTATTCAGATAACACTTATGGTATAACATTCAGGAGAATTTACCAATGTTCCCGAAAACATACAAACGATTATAAACAATATATTTTCATGGTCTACATCTAGGTGAGTGAGATTATCACACCTTTAATTGAAAAAAGGCACAGAGCTTGTTCTCGAGTCGCCTTAGTCCATCATATTCCTCTCCTAAATGCTATGAGGTCGAAACGATTTCCAAACGCATATCGAGGGAAAGTATAACTCGATCCAACATAAAATGAAACGTTAATCGGTCAGCTGAGCTTACTTATTGTCAATAATTAGGTGATAGGCCACACACAGCTGATCACTCGGATCGTTATTCAACAGAGCGGCAAACACTTCACGTTCGGAAACGTTGCATGCTTGACACACTTCGAATACGGCTTCCTGATCGACAGTTAGAGCAGAGGGGGTGAAAGAAGAGAAGTATGACATACAATGTTTTCGGAGAATGACTGATATAGAAGTCAGTGCGAACGAGAGTGCCAGAACTTGAGTAGTGGTAAAGAACTGTAGCTCCGAATGCGAACAATATCATCACATCACTATTTATCAGTTGTTTTCTATTATCAGAATAAACTATTCGTTACGGCGCAATAGTTAAACATAAATCACAACTTAAATAAGAGTGTTTTTGTGTTTACAATTTACACAATTTTGATCAGCTTCAGTCCGTATGCGGAGTATCTAAACAGAGGTAAACTTGTAGGGATGAAATACAAACGAATCAGATCCTAGGAACAATGAGAATGCGGGTAACGAGTCGCAATAGGTGACACAAACTGACATCTAAAAGTACTGAGGGAAAAGCTGGTTGTAGACCGGTTTTACAAGGAATATAGTTTCCCAAAATCCCTAGATGGAGTTGAAATTTCACTTCTTACTTTATCAATAATTGAGGCATCTTCATCCCTTTCTTGAGGAAACAGGTGATTAGGCAGATCTTCAATAAACCACGGGTGACGACGAATTTCCTCAATGGTTGCTCGTTTGATAGGATCCACGGTGATCATTCGACGCAACAAATCACGCACCTTTGCCAGTGGAGAGGGAGAAAACGTGATGAAATAACGAAGATTTACGCAATACAATCAACTTATTCTGGTTTGGAAAGACTATTGAACACAAGAAATGATAATACACACACTATTACTGTCGGTTTGCTCCTTTGTGCCTCTGCCACCGGGCCACCTGTTATGCAATATCCTGGAATATGCAGAAAATTTACGAACATTTAACATGCTTTACCTTTCCCAGCAATCCCTCATAATATGGAACGGCAACCGTAAACAAGGCGTTGTGCAACTGAACACTCCTGAACATGCGAATTTTACTCATCCGAATTTGCTGTGATGACGGATGGCCCCTTGAATCACTCACAGACACGCCGTATCTCAGTATTGTAAATTTGTTTGCCTCAATCCCCGTATGACAGACTGCGAAAACGTCGATTGCTGAATAACTCAAATGCCTCTGACGGGCATTTTCAACGTCGCACAACCCTCAGGCAGAACCGAGTACATTATGGTATACTAAACAAAGCTCCAAGACTTCAATTTCAGTTTGCGGGTTTCCTGAATAATTCGGAAGGTAGCTTTCCATAGGTGATCCAATTTCAGTTCCATCACCGTCCTCCGTGGACCAAGGGTAGACCTGAGTGCTTCACGTCTAAATCTACCCTATCAGCCCATATTTCAAGCTGTCCCCCAGATATGCATGGAATAATCGTACGATACAAATTCATGCGCCCAGTAACATTCGAGCTCTTTAATCTAGGATGCATCTCTGCTCTTTTCACAAAACCAAGTGGGAATTTCAAGGTAAGAAAATTACTGTCTTGCTGAAACAATTTTAGGCATATCAGCTACCTCGATACTGGTCGAGTTCACATATTGAGCCGTCTACCGAGATATGACCACTGCATCCTGGGGAGCTTCTCAGAGCGATAGATGAAAAGTGAGCGTCAGGTAGAGACAAAAAACTGAAGAATGACCCCAAGAAAAAACGATAGCTGCCTAACGAGAGAGGCTATCTTCATTGGAACCCCTGGTACCTCAACCCCGATTACGTACAACTGAGCACCAGCAATGGAGACTGTAGGAACACGTTAAACCACTTCGCAACTGAGTGAACTAATGTCTATACCATACCGAGCTACCTCGATCACTTAACCGTTCATTGCAATTCGTATCGTTGGCGCACTTTTACCCAGCAAGGTAATCAATAGATCCTAAACTGATAACTCTGTTCCCATTGAGGAGGGGTCAACTCTCCTGCAGATTGAGCCATTAACAGCACTTGTTAGATGTAGATGTACATTCAGTTAGTTTTCTTCAGCTTTTACAACCATTAACCAGGTAATTTCGTGCGCCGGTTTTGGTTGTTGACGTTGGGTGCCCATTTGGATAGGACAGCAGAGTGAAGATGCAATGTTGATAGCAAATTCAAGGGGAATATAGGTAATTTGCATAGACTAAGGTTGTAAGGATAATGAGTAGATGCACGAACGCCACTGTTTGCGACGCATCCATATCACTCATTGTCTCTAACCAACGGTTACCATGTTCTCGGGGTCCCCATCCAGGGAGCCTAACGAGACCTATATGACCCAGTCTCCTGGTTAATGTTTTGATACCCTCACACCAGGTCTTAGTTTGACCGCCCTTAACCGTTTTACAACCGCTTTGTCTCGGTAAACATCGCTCGCCGTGGCAACCTTTCTAATGACGTGCGCAAAATGTCCCAACCAGCGTAGTTTATGGAATTCAAACACTTACTCCAGTGGACGACCGCAATTATCTAAAACTTTGCGTCTAACCTTGGTATTGCTTGTACGGTTACCCCAACAGACTCGTGTGTACATTCCAAAAAGCATATAACATTAAAAACAAAAAAATCGATATTACATGACATGAGTCAACTACTTAAAAAAGGATGTGACCGTCAGCGATTGCTCACCTCCGTGCTTAACGATTCCGGCATGTGGAAATAGCCGGCCTTGATCTTTTTGAAGAGCGTGGGAATGTGTTCATCATCAAATGGCAGCGTACCACATAGCAAAGCGTATAAGATGACCCCACATGACCAGACATCGACTTCCGGACCGGCATACAGTTTGCCGGAAATCACTTCTGGCGCGGCATAATTAGGCGAACCGCAAGAGGTGCGGAGAAATTCCCCATCCTGCATCATGTTCGACAGTCCTGTAAAAAAGCAATTCCGGATAGAGCGAAATGTAAGCACCAATCTGTGTTTAGCTTTTCGGACGCTTTGTATGATAAATAAAGATGGGCATTTAAGCGAAAATATGGACAATACCATTAAACTAATAAATATAGTAGTGTGTTTTATAACTCAACTCTTAACGTCAAAGCGAAAGGAGACTGACTGCATTGCGGAGGTACAGGGGTTTAGTCGCTTGTAACATGCGTAACACATGTCCCAACCAACGTAATCTACGGAGGTCGACCATTCGCTCCAGTGACCGCGATTACCCAAAGCTCTGCGCCTAACCTCAGCATTGCTAGTACGGCTACTACGCCAGATTTGTGCAATGCGTAGACAGCGGTATTCAAACATCGACAGTCTGCAAAGCATTGCACGACTGTCGGTGTTTGAACACCGAGTGATCAACAGCTGTGGATATAGACCACGCCTTGCTACGAGCCAAATATTACCACTGTCGCGAAGATCCAAAGTAGTAACAGCAGATAGTAAACCAAACCTTGAGGCTTTGACTGGTGAACTGTTTAGCCCAAGAAGATTACACTCCGCAACAACGGAGACAACTGCCACCAATGATCGAGCGAAAACTGAAGACATTGTGGACTCGTGTGTTTTCCATCTCGACATCATCATCGTCGTCATTGTCCAGCGTAATACAGTGAAGCGAACTTCACTGATCGCTGCCAAAGTCATATTGCATACAAGATAAGTAAGAATGTGTAAGGAGGACAGGGATTGGGGCTATTTTTAGGGACGGGAAAAGCGAACCTTTACGGTCAAGACACATAGTAAACAGTCCATCTGTGCACACATACTATTTCAAGCATTCTGGTCTGATAAGAAGTGACAGCATGATCGCCATTGCTGTCGGTTCGCAGCCATAACCTTCAGTGTCTCAAACCATGCGATTATGGAGTCTTTTGGACCCCAACCCGGAAGACGAGAGACACTCAATCTACCTAATCGCTCTGTGCATTTTTTCATGCCTCGTCTCTACGTCATCTGCTGGCCTCCACGTGGCTTTCTCCAACCCGTAACAGCCACTGCAAACAAGGCGCGCTGCGGTAGACAAACGTCGGACATACGTAAAACGTGTCCTAACCAACGGAGACTATTGAGCTGGATTCGATGAGATAGCGAGTTCTTGTTTGATGTATCCCCAAACACCTGATGATTTACTTTTAAGTTACTAACCCCGCTCACTCCATCCAACCTGGGCCAGATTACGTAAGCCTCGATTGTCGAACACTAATAAACGACGGATGTCTTTTACTCGCAAATTCAGGGTCTCACAACCATAAAGCAGGAGGATAGTACAGCGGACACAGTATACGCGACTCTTCAACTTCAGTGAAACGTCACGTCGCCCCACAGGTGTTTAGATCTTGCGTACGACGCTCGAGCCTTGGAAATGCGGGTAGTTATCTCCTTTGATGCACTACCGTCGTTGGCCCTGAAGTTACCTAAGTACAAGAAGCAGTCAACTACAGCAAATTCCTGACCGTCTACTTTCAGAACTGAACTCGACGACAACCATTCTTGTAGCATCACTTTGCATTTCGAAGGTGCAAAGCACATGCCCAACAGAGCGACAGAACTTGCTAACCTGTCAAGTGCTCTTTATGCATCATCCATACATTCGAGCAAGCAAACGATGTCGTCAGCGTACTCCAAATCGCACAGCTTTTCTCCAGATGCCCATTTTATTATTTATTTTGGAGACCACTTGGTGTGGTCTTCAGTATTTCGACTATGACGAAATTGAGCAGGAATGGCGAAAGAGGGCAACCTTGACGAACATCGCTGCTCGTGACGAACGACCTACTGAGCTCGTCGTAGACCCTTACGCTACCAGAGGTATGTGAGTAGAGTGACCTCAGAAGGTTCACATACTTCTGCGACATTACTTTGCGAAGGAGCGAACCCATAAGGAATTCGTGGGAGGCCCCTTTTAGGTCAAGGAACACAACAACCGTTGGTCGACGGTGCGCATGGCGTAGTTCGAGGACTTGACGCAGAGTGAAGATATGATCGATACCACCGCGGCCTGGTTGAATTCCTGCTTGTTGTTCGCGGATGTTTCTCTCTCTAAACAGCGTCAGACATCCAAGTATAATTGAGGCTAGTGACTTCGTGACGATTGGGATCTAACTCATTCCATGGTAGTTTGCGCAGTCGTTGCGAGATCCCTTCTTAAAATTTGGATGCGATGATGGAATGCATCCACAAGCAACTCTCGCTGCGGAGTGCATTGCTCGGCCAATCTGATACCACTGTTCATCTACACTACCACCCTAAAGTGCGTTTATCTCTTGCCTTAGTTCTGGTTCAAAACGGGCACGAACGGCTGGGTCAGATAAACGATGATCTGCCAAACGAGTCTTGTGAGGTTTTCTGCGACCAGTGAGTTGGAGAGTGAAATGCATCAAAACTAACGCATGATCAGATCAGATCAACGCAGGTGGTCCAACAAGACCTATCGTTTTGTACTGAGCCACGCCAACAGTAGCTTACTGCTTTGCGGTCGATCTGAGTTAGCGTGCTAGTTGAATTTGAGCGCCACGCTGCTGTCCGTTGAGAGCTGTGTCGGAAGTTGGTGCTGGACAGAAACAGATGATGATCTGCGCAGAACTGGAGAAGTCGATCGCCATTATCTGTTCGCTGGCGGGGCAGAATACAATGACCGCCTAGGTAAGCTTCGGATGCGCTGTTTTCCAACGTGAGCGTTGAAATCACCTGAGAGCACAACTATATTAGAGCTTCGGCTCAACCGAACGAGTTCGGTGAGTTTATCATTAAACTCGTCCTTTTGTGCGTCAGAACTGCAGTTCGTCGGAGCATACGCTGAAATGATAAACAGACACCTTTTGGTGTTGCTTCCCTTCCGGACACTGATAGACCCTTGGAGCCGCATCGCACATAAACGGCTGTTGACGGGGATCCAATCGAGCAGTGTAGCTTTGGTTGTATTATTCAGTAGAATGCCCACGCCACGCTGGCCTACTGACCGGGCTTCGTCATCACCTGACGTGCGGAGGAAGAACCTCGAAGACAACTCCGGTGCACTTAAGTGGCATATAGTACTNTCGCATCTCCGATACGCAGCAGACATCAATCCCCAAAGAGTCTATTGTACGCGCCAGACACGCCTAATGACTTACCTGCATCAGAGTCCTCATGTTGAAGGCCCGCAGATTAAGTGACTGACGAGGCTTCAGAATCTGCAATCTATTTGCTCGAGTCTTGGAAATGCGGGCGGTTATCTCCTTCGATGCTCTAGCGTCGTTCGTCACGCAACTATCCTAGTACGAGAAGCAGTCGATTTCAGCTAATTCCTGACAGTTTAGTTTCTGAACGGGACTCAGCGATACCTAGTTTTGCAGCATCACTTTGCACTTTGAAGGTGCAAAGGACCAATAGAATGTAGCAACAGAAATTGCTAGCGCGTCGAGTGTGCTTTGTGCAGCTTTCATACACTTGAACAGACAAACGATGTTATCAGCGTACTCTGCGTCCCAGTTTTTCTCCATTTTTTATTACACTGTTTCGCGTGATGAACAGCAGTCAGCGGAGAGCCCCACAGTCACGAGTACCTGCTGTTCAGTGACGGAAACCGGAACCAGGCTAGTTTTAGACCAGGTCTAGGTTGTATCGACTACATCTTCGCTTTTCGTCAAACCCTAGAACACAGACACTCCTTTCGTAGACCCAACAATTCTAACTTCTTCGGTCTGAAAGCGGCTTTCGACTCAGTCGACCGGTCTAAACTCTGGTGCAAGTGTATAAGTATTGTTATTTGGTCAGTTACATCTCAATTTTTTTGCTACACTAATCTAATAAAATTTCCAATTGATTCCATTTTCAACTTCTCCGTCTTTCTTTGACTACTCATCCAAATGGGCAGCCAACTGGCGCACAAATATGCATGGTTAATGGTTGTACAAACTGAACTGAAACTGAAGCAGGCACATTATGAGCTGGCTTTTAAGGGATTTGCGCGCTTTGTCATATTTTGCATCAGAGGGAATGGCTTTGTGCGCGTCCAACAGGGTGATTGAGGTTGAGGAGATCCATCGTTTTTGGTTTGATCGTGCTCCAGGATCCGTCATTTTCTTGACTGACAGTTGGATCGCTTCCTTTATTGCGGTCCAGTGTTCTATGAGTCCTTCGGTTGACAGTTGAGCTGGAAAGCCACCAGATAGTTCCAATTCGAAGGCCGAATCGCAACCATTGCTGACGCTATATTGTTGTTATCCGTTTTCGGTGGCTTTTCTGCGGTTGTTTATCGGGCGTAGGGAGAATCTCGCTGGTAGCAGAGCATGGTCCGTGTCTACGGGTGTTGACCAGGGCGGTGGTCTTCAATGGATCCTCGCCAGCGGTGGCTGCTGGCGATGTGGTCGATTTTAGTCTAGCGCTGTGAAGAGGTTGGCGGTCTCCGTGTAAGGCGATGTCATTTCTGGTATGAGAAGTTCGTGCTCGACAGGATTAGTTCATGGTCAGGCGTTCTCTGTTGTCAATCCGGTTAGTTGGGATTGCATGTGAACCACCAAGTAGACTTTCTGATTCTTCCAGGGATCCCACTTGGGTATTGAAGTTTCCAGGAAATACCACGATGTCCGTTGATCGAGCATATTGGAGCAGCTGGAAAAGCTCTTTGTAGAATTAGTCCTTCATTTCTGGCGAACTGC